CTCCATGCTCCCTCGTCACGAGGGAGCATGAACCAGCTTCCCGGCCAATCAGAAAGCCGGGCAGCGTGTAATGACTCGCTGCCCGGCTTCCTGAAACTGGAAGCTCAGGTATCAGGCTAGGCATCGGATACCTGAGCTTCCGGTGCTCTGTGACAGGGGATCAGAGGGAGATTGGTACACGATCTTCCTCCGATCCCTCGATCTCCGGTGTCAGAATATGGAAGTGATGTATATTACGTCACTTCGGCATTCTTATGTCACTTCAGCTTCTTTGGGTGGTCCTAGGTGACATTATGGGTCTTGGAGACCCCTGATGTCTCCATAAAGAGGACCTGTCACATCTCTTTGCTATTACATTAGGGGGTTTTCTTAGCCCCCTATGTTATTAAAAAAAAAAGTTATTAAAGTTATTTACCCGACATGACCCCATCTTTTATATTTTACTAATAATTTGGGTAATAATAAATGTTTCCTAACAATGTAAAAAAAACTTTTTTTACATTTTTTTCAGTAATTTTTCCTTAATATAGTAAAATAAAACCCCAGTGGTGATTAAATACCACCAAAAGAAATCTCTATCTGTCCCCCCAAAAATGGTATAAAATTAATTTCAGTACAGTGTTGCATGATGGAATAAATGTCAAAGTACTGCAGCACTGAATACTGAAAAATGGCCTGGCCAGGAAGGGGATGTAAACACCTGGTCAGCAAGTGGTTAAATAATTTCTCAATTTGTGCTGACACGGTCCTTCCTTCTGGAGGGTGGCTACCTTTCTTCCTCCAAGGTCCATGTGTGTTTTGTAAAGTAGCCACCCCTTCCCGTGATTGACTACAATCTAGAGAAATTAGTAAACTAAATGTGAGATTGTAGTTTTTAATTGGAGCCATGGCTACTTTACAACACACAAGGGGAGAAAAAAAAAAAATGTAGCCGCCCTCCAGAAAGGACAGTATCAGCACCGATTTAAACTGGCCATACACCTTACAACCATCGCAAGACTTTCAACTTGCGATGGTTGTAAGGTAATTAAAAAAACGTACGATTTGCCCATCTTGGACAGGCAGATCGTACTTGCGAATTATCGTGCGGCATTTGTCTTACGAGCACACCACAAACATAGAGCACGCCACGCCACAAACCCGCCGAAAATCGTACGATTTTCGGCTGGTTTTCAAACATGCTCGTTAGACAAAAGACGTGCGACCGTACAGTAAATATGGTCGCACGCCTTCCACACACCTGCTGATTATCGTTTGCAGGATTTCCCGTTATTATTGTACGATAATCGGCAGGTGTATGGGCACCTTTAGAGATGATTTGAGATTCTATAGCTGAATGATAAGGTGCCATTATGTGAATAGTGAAGATATTTGAATGCATTTTTCAGATTTAACTCCCGAGTTTAGTGTCACTTTAAATCTCCTTTCACACTGGCTGATCAGAAGGGGATCTGTGCACAGATCCCCTTCTGATCAGAGCAGTATGGAGCGTATGTGACATCTGTGTCCATTCAGCTTTTTCCCCTTCACCTTGCCATGATGGAAAGAACTGAAACTGCTGGACCCCATGTCAGTCTATGGGGAATCGGATGTATATGGACATTTGTCCATTTACATCAGATTACCCCCGATCCAGCACGATCAGGTCTGGTCAAATGGATCTCTTATCCGTTTGTTTTTCCGGACCTGGCTGGAGTCAGGGTTAACGGTGTAAACTGACGCCTGTCCGTTTACACCTGGCTGCCCATAGACTAACATTGGGCATCCGATCGGGTCTGCCTGAAAAACTGACAGGCGGACCCGATCGGACCACCCATGTGAAAGGGGCCTAACTTACCTACCTCATAAGACAGAAAGTAGAAGTGTTAGATGCCCTAACATCACCTAAGCATTACCTAAATCTAAGGAAGGCGGTACAACTTAATAGTTCAAAATGTATCATAGGGGATGACTAACCCAAGTTGTCTTCATAGAAGTTTCATCAGCATTTGCATATGTCCAGTTCATCTTACTTGATGAAATTTGAAAGAATCCCAAACATTATCCTGAATGGGAACACTGATCCTCCCATTACCAAAATCAGAGGCTACAGAAAATTGCATGCAAGTAACTGAAAACATAGTATCTTAATATAAAGGATATAAAGCCAAACTCAGAAAAAACAGCTAAATACATAGAAGGGTTTATCTATCTAACACTTGTTTTTCTGTCCATCCATTCCCGAATGACACAGAACAGCCAGGATGATACCACCATATTTTGACTGGTAGGAGGAAGTGGAAGTTTTTGACTGTAGGAGGAATACAGTGGTATCCCACGCCTTGCCTGTTGTCTGTATAGTAATGGAGCATCAGGAAATAAACAAGGATATCTTTCCGCCCACTCTGTTCTCTCCTCCTATCATCATGTTGTTTGTCAGCACGTTTGTATGCATTTGCCGTGCTGCTCCTTCTGATACAAATCTGAGTGCTGCTACACATGAAATTCCATGTGCATGAAGGGCCGGATTTACTCTCTCTGCTGACCCACGGCCAGGTTCCTCAAGGCGCCCCCCTACCCGCCAACCCCCCCCCCATTGAGAATGGCAGACCTGCAGGCTGAATACAAGTGATCTCGGCGAAATCGCCCAGATCACTTGTACAAAACAAGCTGCAGCTTCCCCACGGTACATTTAGATTTAGCTCTGCTTGCCCAAAGCAGAGCTAATGTAGAAAGCAACTACCTGCCCAGTGCCCAGAACTGCATGTCCCGGGCATTTGGAGATAGGAATTCCACACCCCTGCTGTCCCTCTACTCCCTGCTGCCCCAGGGCTGGGCCTTGGTTGGCCTTGTGGGAAATCCGGCCCTGTGTGCATGTATATGGAGTAGGTCACAACAGGTGTCTGAACAAATTTCTAAGAATATTAGTGTTATGAATGTACAATATGTTTTTTTCATGTATTGTATTCAGGGGTGTGGTGTCACAGTTCCGATGGGTGTACTGGGAGATATCTACTTGTTTTATTTATGAATGTACAATAGAGTGTACAGTGTACAGCTACCTGAGAAATTTAATTTATAGCATAGTGCAGATAGTGTAGAAGTTTATGGTACCTGGTATTCCATAGCAGTGGTGGCAGTCAGTGGAGACGTGTGTCATAGTGGTCAGTGGAGACATAGCAATGGTGGTAATAGGTGGAGAAGCGTGCCCTTCCAATGTGTTCAATGCCCCTGCTGTCACTGGTGGTCAGTGAAGAAGTGTCCCCTTCCCCCAGTGTCACTGGTAATCAGTGATGAATTGCCCTTCCTAATGTCATTGGTGTCCAGTGGGGAAATTTCCTTCCACTGTGTCAGTGGTGGTCAGTAGGGAAGCACCATCCCCTGGTGTCCATAGCAGTCAATAGAGAAATGCAGAATAGGTCAGTGGAGATATGTTTTCCCCTTCCCCTGTGTCAGTGGTTACTTACTAGCTCAGGGGTAGGCAACCTTGGCTCTCCAGTTGTGCTGAAACTACAAATCCCTTCATGCTTCTGCCTCTTGGAGTCATGTCTGTGGCTTGCAATGCCTTATGGGATTTGTAGTTCCAGCACAGCTGGAGAGTCGAGGTTGCCTACCCCTGTACTAGCTGGTCCTTTGTCGATGGCTGTGTGGGGAGTGACATCAGCCTAGCACCAGAAACATGCAGCTGCTGTTGACTAGACCAATCCACCTTTTGTACAGAGGTGCACAGTGGGCATTGTTCCATCATCATATTGCCAAGGACACACATACACTAACCGGTTCAGCCATTGACTTGAGGTTTCTGACAGTTGAGCTTTCCCGTAGCTACTGGCTTCCTTTGACCTCTTACAGAAAATGCTAGTTGCCCAACTACACTAATCTCAGAAACACTGGCCCCCAAAAAGTACCCATATTGTGAAAGGCGGGGAAAAGCAAGAAATACTCATCTGTATACTTGTTTTAGGTCAGAAACTCAAAGCATTGAAGCAAGCATGCCAGCAACACAGGCAGCATTTAAAGCACAGACAGTATTTTTTTTATCCACTTAGCTTAATACGATTTGGATCTTTGCTGCTTTCAAATCCTCTTGATCAGCAGTACACTTGTAGTCAGATTTATTTTCAGCTAAAATGACTTGTAACAATAGGAATGTATCTGTGACTTTCAATTGTGCACAGCTAAGAAAGTAATTTTATCCTTCATAATACACTGTAGGTATATATCAAGCTTTTTATATTGAAAATGTATAGATGGCTTTATATTGTTCCAGAATACTGGTACATTGCAGCCATTGTGGGGGTAATTGCAATGTTTACAAGAAGACTCTTCATCAAATATTTTGGGCCTTAGGGCCAATTTGTCTTTTTTTCCTGCAGTAACACATGCATTTCAAGTAGAAATCCCATTCTTTCCTATGTGGCTGGTTCTCATCTATGCACAGCAGTTTGTGTTTTTAATACTTTAGGGCCCAATCATACGGTGGGGGGAATTTATCAAAACTGGAGTAGACAAAAGCTGGAGCAGCTGTGCATGGCAACCAATCAGCTTCTCTCTTCAGTTTGTTCAGTTAAGGTTTGAAAATGAAACCGACACTGATTGGTTGCCATGCACAGCTGCTCTAGTTTTGATAAATTCCCCTCAATGTATGTGCATGTGCATTAACATGCATGCATATTAGGTGCAAATAAGCCCTTATAGTCCATTATGAACTGAAAGCAGAACATTGGTTTTGCCCACAAAATGCCAGCCTTCACACTATCTAATGCAGCTGGTGTGGGGACTCTGGTGCAAAGAGGGGCTCCTGATGTAAAGGGGGCGGCTGATGTGAAGGGTTTTTGCATGGGGTCTCCCCTAAAATCCATAACAATTTAGACTGGGGTGCTGTCAGATTTTGAATACTTTTAAAGGGTGCCGTGACTGACAACAGGTTAAGAAACACTGAGCTACAAAACAGGGACACAAAAGAAACTTTACAAGATAATCACATCTAACATTACACATTTTCCATGTTTTTGACTTACAGGGAGGTTCAGCTTTACAGCATCTACAGGCTGCTGGAACGGCCAGGAAAAATTGTGCTTCCATAACGCCTTTAAAACAACCTTTTCCAAGTATTGTAGTTGATTGGTCAGGCGTCCGGTCTTATTCCGATTAATATATTCCGGGGGTGGAGGATTTATAGCAGAGGAGTGCAGTTGCCGGCTTAACATGGTGCACCAATTCAGTATACATTACACTGCAAAAAAAGAAAAAAAATCAGAAATATTAAAGACCAAGCAATTAGTTTAATAAGGTGTCTGTTTAACCAATGGATTTATAAGGGGACCGTACATAAAGTCTGGTCTTGCTTGATCAATCGAAGACTCTTATAAATATCACAGCTTAGTCATAGCACAGAAAGTCTCTGTGAGCCATCTTTTAAATGGCCTGACAAGTGGAGGCAGTTCAGTTTTGGATAGACACATGTGAGCTGAATCTCCCATTGACTTCTTATAGCTCTCAGAGGCTAAAGTGGCGAGATTTTCCCAATAGTTTGTGTATCCAGCCCAAGATGCACAGTCTGATGTTCCGATTCCCCCCCCCGCAAATTAAAACACACATGGAAGTCAGAGCAGGTGGCCCACACTGAACAATTAAGCAAACAAGTGCTATGTGGACTCAGAGCTCCTATATTAGGGTGGGTGTTTATTTTTTTATTAAAAGGAACCACTTACATGATCATGCAGTATAATATCCCAGGCCAAGTTAACCCCGTTGTGACCACAATGAATATGTAAAATGCACCTTGCCGTAGGAATGTCAATAAAATTTGCAGCAGAGAACTAAGAAAGTTCAAATGTCTGTGTTCCTAGAACAGGTTAGCTGACGTATACCAACACTGGAAAACTTAGCCTGGGCTTTAAAGCGTAAAAAAAACTGGCCACAAAAGGGTAAAAATCAACTCCTTGAAGGTTTAGAATAACCCTTCACTACTAAAAAAACTTATTTGAACACAGCAATCTAGTTTTATACTTAGTTACTGCATGCCAGCTCACATACTCTTCATCAGCTGTGCAGTGGAAGTGTCTGCCATGTATAGCAAAGAGGTCTTCAGCTAGACTTACAGGAGGGTGTGCAGGTAGACATCACCAATGTGGCATTCACTATTAGTCCAAACAGGAGGTGGGCCACTCTGGAACAAGAAAATGAAGAAAACAGAAAATTGTTCTCCTAATTAACCCTTTTGTTGTCAAACCAATGTTTATAGTTTTAACACACGTGTTTGGCTAGAGCTACACAGGCGATTTTAACCTTATACCATGTACCACCTTAGTAGGCTAAAGCTTGATTTAAATAGATCCGTCTACTAAAACTGCTAGTGATTAAGTTGCATGTGGGTGTTGTGCATTGCCTTTTATTTTTAAAACCCAGGTTAAAAAAAAAACCTTGCAGTGCCCTCCCCTCCCTGCACTGCAAGGGTTAACTGCTCACGAAGTCCAGGGGTGCAGAGATAAGGAGTAATACTTACCTTACTCTGGCAGGCTCCCTCCTTTCCCAGGACCAGTCCACTATAACCACCTCTCTAGGTGCTCCTTGCCACAGTTGTACACTTGCCTCCAAGTACAGTGGAGAGCGACTGCCCACAGCTTAGAGCGCCAGGGAAAAAAAGGAAAGCACCTGAGTTGTGGGGGGAGGGTGTCACGGTAAGTAATATGCCTCTTCTTGTACCCCCCTAGCCCTAACAAGTATTTAACCATGGCAGTGCAGGGGTCTCCACTGTAAAAGGGTTTTTGTTTTGTGCCCACAGTGGGCTTTAATGGTACCCCTACACACATATACAGCCACCTGTATACATATAATGCACCTGTCAAAGAACTTGTGTTGCCTTGCGGTGTGCTGGATAGAAATGAGGCAGGTATGTTTTTTTGACCAATGACATATTGCATACAGGGCCCAAATCAAAAGAACAAGCATCTACATTTAAAAAAGACATGTTTATGTAATTGTTTTAACTTTACATTTTTTTTATACACTGTTACCTTTCCATACCTATCACAAATGGGCTGACAACCACAGTACAGAACACATGACAATACTAGAAACACGAGGGGGCTAATTTATAAATAATTCCCAGAGCCATTCACCTTGCAAATCTGTGAGAATGTTCATTCTGTGTGAATAGAGACAAAACAAACATTATTTGTATATTTTGTTTTCAGGTTGAATGTAATGTAATACATCATTATGGCCTCTAGATGGAGCTGAGGATCATAGAAATAAATACTTATGTGTTTCCCTGGTGCGTCCTCAGGGGGTTGTTGCAAGAACCTGAAGGAGACAGCTGGCTCACAATTGCATAGGAATGAAAGATGCTGGTACAGTACCTGGCCTGTTGCAGTGGAACAGCAGGACAACCTGGATTGGTTGGGAAATCTTTTTCTAAAGAAATGCCTGCATTACAGGTAAGAGGGGATGGAAGTTTCTCTTGTTAGCCCCCAATGTAATAGCAATAAAGTTAAGTGTAAAAAAAATGTAAGTCCTATTAAAAAAATGCAAACTTTTTAAAAAAAGCCCTTTGCCCCCATCGTGCACGCACATACAAATGCAAACGCGCATTGGGTGTGCCTATGTGCAAAAATGAAAATTGCTCCACACGTTACATAAAAATTCAATCATTGTTAACACTAAACTGATGAGCAGTAAAAGCTTTTAAAGCATTGCATATGGGAAATTTTGGGTATTGTAGTTTTTTGCAGTTTCACGGGCGCATGCAAATTTAAAGCTTGACATGTTTGGTATCCATTTACCCAATATGACCCCATCTTTTATATTTTACCTAAAAATTGGGTATTCTATTTCTGTGCACGAAATTTCATTTTAGTGTATGTAATCCTAAAAATACTGATTTGATAAACATTTGCGCAAATTTATTCTACAGGGCCTCTGCTTTCAGAAAATATATAATTGTTTGGGGGTTTTAAGCTGTTTTCTAGCCCAAAATTTCGATTTTATCATGTGTGTGCAAATATTAAAGGAGAACTATGAGGTGAGTGATTTCCACTCACCTCATAGTTCTAGCCGACCTGTGACAATGAGACTGTCACAGGTCGGCTCAGTAGATCGGGAGGTGAGCGAACACATACCAGGTTCGCTCACCTCTCGATCCTGTCACGGCTCTCTGCC